TGTGAGAGCCACAGACCAAGTTTGGGTGCTCTCCAAGGGTCAGGATAGCCAGAGAAAAAAGCCTAACCATGCCCTGGCACTGTCTAGTAGAAACTCTGCTGGTATCAGCACCTATTACAAGGGATCAAACTCCTACAAACTCCACCACAGCCACCCCACAAGACCAGATGTCCCTGCCACTGTGAATGACAGACATCACCTGCCTGCCAAAGACTTCAGCTCATGGGACTCGACTGCACATCCAGGGCTGGGTGATGTACCTGGCTGCTTGTGGGGATCTATGCCAAAGGCCTGCACCCTGGATGCAAAGGAGTCTGGGAAACATGGATTCAGCTTCCCAACCTCTGCAGTGCAGGAAAACCAAGTGAGATGGGGTTAGAAATGGTTGTTGATTGAACCAATGACAGGATCTGTTACTGTGGCACTTAATAAAGCTCACCCCCTGAGGAAACTGAGAGGACACAGTCATGCACCTCTGTCTGAAGGTTTTCCTCTCTGCCTGCAACTTGATTTTCTTGGCATGTGGCCAGTGGTGTGCTGGAGCCAGCTCACATTGGCTTGTGAGATGATCAGGAATGTTTTGAGTTAGCTGTTTTAACTCAGACATTATTCAAAACTAAATTATACAAACTTACAGTCATAGAAATTGTATTAAAAACACAAGTAATACATAGTCAGAACCCATCACTTCCTAGGCATTCTACTACACATTCCCGTTGCCTACGCTGTGGACGCCGCTCTGCCTGCCGGTGCGGGAGCTTGCCACTGTCCACTCCTCCTCATACCACATCCAGGGATATCGTGAGTGGCCATAAATCAGGAAATCAGTCAGAATGGGATCATTTATGGAAATGCTATAAATCAAGGCTTGATTTCTTGTTTTGTTCAGTGTCTGGACTTAAGAAAGTAATGGGAAAAAAATTGTCAATAATGCAGATTAAACTGAAATTGTTGTCTTGTCGATAGCTGTTATATTGTGAATAGCTCACAAAAAGCTGAGGGACTATTCTTCTAGTATTCTGAAACTATTATGTGATTTACGAAAGAAGTTATTTAGATCACTGACAAACAAGTGAAGTTCTGACATACGTTCATTGTTCCACTTTCGTCTTACACTTTATTGTAAATGAAAATATTACCCAAAATTCATGTTGGAGCTACATGCTGAGAACCAGTTGTTAAACACTTACCAGCACACCACAGCGTGTACCCCATATACTTTCTAATTCTGGGCACCAGAATAATGAGAGGCCCTCCTGGAAGAGGCAGGAGGCCTCCAAAGGGCAGACAGATACAAAGAAAAGAGAGAGCAGAGAGAACGGCACACACCAATGCCAGGCAGTGACAAGAGTGGGTTAGACGTAAATCGAGAGTGTGAGGACTGTTTACGGGTAAGACTACATGGTCTAGCCACAGGGAGCGAGACCATATCTCTTAGGGGAGACAGTCATTCATTTATTCTGTTGGTTCGTGGGGAAGAGACAGCCTGTGTCTGATCTATCTCTGCAGCCCCCACAGGGCATCTCAGGAAGAGTGGGGTGGACTGCAGGGTCCCCCTTTGCCCAGGTTTTTAAACCAGCTGTCAGGAAAGGAGGAATACACAATCTCTATGACAAGAACAGTCAGATGGCTTGGTTCTGTTTTATGCTACTCAGCATCCTTCCTAACCAAACCCAGTTTCAGTTTGAGAAGCTGCTTATGTGTGCCTGGTACTGGAACTCTCTGAATAGCTCAATCCTGGTCTTTTTTGAGCTTATTTCTCCAGTTCTCCCTCTGACACTGTGATCTACCTGCCACCATAACCTTCTAATTAATTCCTTCTTGACAAAGTTGGCCAGAGTCCGTCGCTGTGGTTTGCATCCAAAGAATCCTGATTGCTATGGATGTGACAACTCACCTCAGCTTGGAGCGCTATGCCTCCAGGACTCTCTCATGGAACACACACACACACACACACACACACACACACACACACCCCACATACGGCTGCCACCCAGAGGCGCTGGCTCAGCCCTGCCCCTGCACCTGTCAGCATCTAGCAGCAGCTGTCACATTCACAGAGCACACAGGGCTTCCGCCTGCCAGCTCTGACTTAATTCGACTGTGCTTGCACCCTGGTTGAGGGCAGTTTTCCTTCCTTGCTAGTTGCCATACTCATTTTCTCTCCTGACCCTCAGGAGTGCCAGGCCACTTCAGGCACCTGGGGACAGGGGCTCTGCAGGCATAGGTGCACAGAAGGACAAACGTTGGAGCAATGCACATGCAGGCTTGCCAGGATGGGTCTGGCTGTGCCTGGCCCCCACCCGCACACTAGGGGGCAGTCACCTGACCACTTGGCCCTGCCCCTAGAGACAGCATGTGTAACCTCATCTCCACTCACCAGAAGTGCTCACTCTTGGTTCTCCCCACACATGAATCCACTCGCTTCTCCTCTGCTCCCCTGTCAGAGGTTTGTGAACTGTCTGCCTGTGCCAAACTGGACACCGATGGGTGGACCAGCTTTCAGCCTCACCCTGGAAGTGCCCATGGTGTGGAAGGGAAGACATGCAGTGACCACATGTGAAGGTGCCACCCATGGGGAAGTGGCATCAGCCAGCTGGGATGCCTTCATCCCATCCCTACCCACCCTCACCAAGGCCCCACCCTCAAGTTCTGGAAACCAGAACTCAAGTTCTTCCAAGTGCCCCCATCGCTGGTGAGTGGTACTGGCAAAGCCAGACCCCACTCACCATTCCAGAATTTTCATCCTGAGAAAATATTTATCCCAGGGTTCAGGGAGAATCTAGGAGTGGATGAGAGCCTTATTCAATGGGGCCTCCATGGCTTGCTATGCATAAATATAACCTGGGCCAAATCAGCTTCTTCCTCTCCCTGCTTCCTGCCCACCCATGAAAGGATGTACCTGTGTCCAGTCACTTCCTGCAGGAGCTCTCAAGGAGATGAGACAGAGAGGCCAACCCTCTCACAGAGTGAAAGCACAGGATAAATCAGAGAGAAAGCAAGAACAGTGAACATAAAACCTCAGCGTGCCCTTTTGTCACAAGCTTTTGCCCAGCTCCTGTGGAACATCGCCACCCCGCCTTGCCCTGCAAACCACCCTATGTGACTTCTGGAAGTCCAGGTCCTTTGTCGCATGGAGAGGATGCAAACCACACGCTGCAGCAGGCTCTGCACCACTCCTGATGCCCTTTTTGAGTGAATTCCTCAGAGGTGGTGCCTGACGTCAGAGATTAATGTCAGCCGGTGTCTCCCAAAGAGGCAGAGGCAGAAACATCACTCCTCTCTGTGACCCCAAGCAAAGCGCTCAACCTCTCTGAGCCTCAGGTTTCCATCTGTAAAATGGGCTCGGGCTAAGCTGTCTCTCCAGTCCATCCCAGACCTTCCCATGTATGACTAATGGGATGAAGCCAATCTCCTTTACAGCAGGATGGAACATTTGCCATCAGGATGCTTCAGGGTATGAGAACAGGAGTCACCATTTATCGGCTACGTAAGTGTCGACATGACAAACGATAGTATTAATAAATGAAATAAGGCACCTTGTTCATTTCATTTTCATAAAAACCATATGGCGGAAGCTACGTGTCTCAGTTCAGGTGCACTTATCTCCAATCTGCCAAATGCCATCCTGATAAACTGAGGGCAGCATCTCAGCTTTTAGAGACCATTGTGGATCTGGACACCGAGAACTGCTGAATTAAATATCCCACCCAGCTTCACAATCCATCAATGTTAACATCCAGATCTTAATAAGAAGGAGCAGGAGGATGGAGAAAATGAGGAGATGAAACTGGGAACTATCTGGGGACCTTTCATCCCACCCAGGACCCGCGAGGGTCACTGCTGTCGCTGCATCAGCACCGCATGGAGTAAGGTCAGAGAGGCCAGGGCACAGGATGTCCTCCAGAACCCCAACAGAACAAGGGCCAGACTGAAGACCTGCAAGGTGGAAAATGACGTGAGTCTGGCATGACTTGTCCCCAGGGAGCCCCCGCCAGCTCCTCATGCCCGTCTCTCCTTTGCCTACAGACTCACAGTCTTTTTCTTACTCTATGATCTTTCCCAGGGCTAACATCAGATTTGAGTCTCATCCACCTCCAGGCTTCAACTTCAACACCTCTCAGACAGCACCTCAGATGAGGAAATACCATTCCAGGTCACACCATGCCCTGGCCAGGGCGTTCTCAGGGTCAGGGCCCCGAGGCACACCCACAGCAGCCCAGGGCTGCCAGGCTCCTGCTTTCCTCCAAGGACCGGCCTGCACCCTTTGCACCTGCAGATCCTCCTCTGTCCAGACCACTGTGGGCACAGTGCAGCTGCACCTTCCTCCCCTTCACAGACACCAGCTGCCCTAGACGGCAATGGATCTATGAAGCCCTATTCTCCTGGCTCTGTACATGATATGAAAAGATGCTTTGTGGTCGTCAGCTCTCCTCAGTAGGCTCAGTTCACACCCGGGCTCTCGCCCCCTGACACTCTTTACTGGCCCTTGTCACTCTGTCATTGTGAGTGTCCTGGGAAGGGCTCCTCTTGTCCTCCTTGGCTCTTGTCCCTCTGACCTCAGCAAGACATCTTTCTGAGCCACACAGATGTCTCTCATGGCCACCCCATGTCTTTCCTACTTGAAAAAAAGCAGATTTCATTCCAGGACTAACCCACCACTTTCAGAGCCCTCAGATCACGTGAATCACGGAAATCAAGTGATGATCTTTGAAACTTTCTGAAACTGAGCTCCCCAATTTCTACAGGGGATCTAACCATGCCTGGCCTTCCCCACCAACACAGAGCACATCTCCCCAAGGCTCCCAACCCAGCTGGGCCATCAACCAGGATCCCCTATTGCCCAACTCAGCAGGTGCTGCATCCTGGGAGATGAAGCCTCACATACCCCACAGTGTTAAGAGCTTGTGGTTCTCAGTTTATCACCCATCCTCTGGACCCTGACCGCACAGTGATCATTCACTCATCTAGGAACCACTGGCCACATTCTCCCACATTACCTGTCTATACCTTAACCAGTTTGTCTCAGGTAACCTTGGAGTCTTCCATCCACATAGATGTTAAGTGCACGGGCTCCAGGGTCAGCTCTGCTCTCTCCAACCTATGACCTTGGGCAAGGTGTGGGTCCTCTCCAGGCCTCTGTTTTCTGATCTATAAAGAGGGTGACCTTGGTGTTTTCTTCACTGGGTTGTTGGAAAGATTAGAAGAATGAATATAGAGAAAGTGCTAAGAAACCTGTCTCAGTAAACATTAGGGGTATCACTTCTTATCGCAGAGTGCAAAGGGATAGAGTCCACCCTATGGCGGCCTTCCCATTACTCCTGAGCTCTCAGGGACCAGCACACAACAGTGTTTAATGAATGACCAAACAGCCTGGGCATTTTTCTCCTTCCCACTACACCTACAGAAGAAAGAACTCTTGGCAAACAGCTGGATAACCTCTTTTTCCTGAGATGTCTGAAGTCACTCCCTAACCCAAGCCAACTAGCCAGCCTCAAATTGTTCTGAGCTGCAGGTCAGGCACCAGATCTTATTCAGAGACACCATGTACCCCCAACTCCCCCATGCCATGCTTTGCTGCATCTGCCTTTCTCTTCAGCTAAAACACACAACAGCAGAAAATGCCTCCTGTCTTCCAATCCTTCAGTGTCCCTAGTCTCTGGAGAAGCTCCAGACCCTTTTGGAAGATTCCAGAGGACAATCATCTATGGGTCTTTTCTGCATTTGGATTGTGAGGTCCTGGGGTTTCCTAAGAAAGGGAATACACCTGTTTCCAGGAATTCTCCTGGCTCTGGCGCACTGAGGAAATTAAACACGGAAGGTGATCCAGGCTTTCCCAGAGGCTGACTGGTGGCACTGGGGAGATGAGCAATTCCTGGTCAGCCCCTACAGGCTCTGTGGCCAGCTATGCCTGGACCCCTCTAGCAGCAATGCCTGCTGCATTCCAGGAAAGCTAAGTGCAGGAGACTGCGGACACAGCCAGTACCCATGGAAGCAGGGAGAGTGGCCCTAGTGCAACATAACTTGGCCATGTGGACCCTCATAGGGGTGGATGCAATCTCATCACCCACTCAGATACCTGAGACTGTGCAGAAGCAGGGCCAGTGAAAGCAGAGGGCAAATCCAGTGCTTCAATGGGGCCCTGCTGTGCAGATGGAGAGTCTACCATGAATATGACTGAGGATGGCCAGGACACAGAACAGGGAGCAGTGTTCTGCCAAACAATGCCAATAGGCAATGGCTGGCGCTGTGTGGAGTGATATTTTAGATGTTACATGTGCCAGGGCTGCAGCAACATGGAAGTCACATAATGGGACTGAATTAGCCCTGGTCACTCAGGCTCCAGGGCACAACTTGTGCTCCAAATCAGTCCTGCTACTACCTGCCTGACCTCAGACAAATACTCTGGGCCTCCATCTCTTCATAAGTAAAACAAGAACAGTGATCTTCACTTCAGGCACTCACGGACGGGACTCAACAGGGCTCTGTACATGTCAGGCAGCAAGAGCACAGGAACAGCAGCTCTTTTCCTAATACAACTAGAGAATAAAGGTGGAGCCTGAGACGGTGGTCCCAATTCCACTGGCAGCCTTCTGGGAAAAAGTCCATGATTTTACCTCAGCTACTGCTTTTGACATTCCCAGGTTCCAACAATAGCATCATCTAAGGATAAAAAGACAATGATGTTCTTACAGAGACACTGACTACTAATGAGGAACGATCAGTTTAAAAATATTGAAATTCATCGTTTTTTAAAAAAAATAATTGGTGTGATTACATGTTTCAAACAAAAGTTGCCACTTCTTGGATACCTGAAAAGAAATCTGCCAAGCAAAGCAGACATGATGATTCTAAATCATTTGCAAAGTCTTTTACCCCTCCCCCGAGAATCCTCACATATTGGGGATCAGGGATTAGATATAAAAGGCAATTTAACTTTTTAAACCAGAAAAGAGCCTCACAAATCACAGTTCCACGCACATACCTATGAATTTGTCCAAAATATCTAGCACATGCAAATTCTTTCACTAAACACACTGCAATGTACCTTCATCATACTTAATTTCTGTTTAATTCTGTGTGATTTATCTATGGCCAAATTTCCATTTCTGTATCAATCAAAAGTAAATTAGTTGAATTTTCATTAAAGGTCATAATAAACTACAATATCATGTTAAATTATTTCCAAGAAGCAAAAGCTTCAAGCTTTATTGGTAATTAAGATCTTTACAAACAAACAACGGCTCTTTTATAACTTAGTGCATATATATTATGTATTTGTGTGTGTTTGAACACATAAATATTATGTGTCATAAATATCATTAAAAATTAAATCACATATCTCTGATAAGATTACATTTTAACCAAGAAACAAAAAATTGCCTCGATATAGTTCTATTTTATCCCTCAAAAATGAATGAGGCTTGATTTTCTAGAGTTCGTCCTTTATGCATCTATGACAATCTTTGACACTAACAGGAAATATTTTCCCCTTGGCCCTCCTATTTAATGTACATAAAATCATTAATTTCAAATGCCATAATTACTGCCATAAAATGCCTAACGTCTCCCTCAGGAGTAATTAAGTAAGTTCATTTCTGTACATCAGCGGCATTGGCAACTACATATTTTAGAAATTTACTGTTAATTTCTTATTTCCAGGGGCCCTCAGATGTTTCAGGTGCAAAGCTCTGGCCTCCCACTGTCTTCCCACAACCCTGCTCTGAATCCTGTCCCCTCCCTCCCCTGCACCTGGCATTGCATAACCTGCCCAGAAGGCAGGTGTGGGTGGGAACTCCCTTAAATGCTTCTGCACGGCTTAGCTTCCTGCTGTGCTGTCTGTGTCTATTAGTAAAGGCAAAATGTCAAGGAAAGGATTCAATCAACCCCTTGCCTCTAAAACCAGGTATGTTCTTTCAGCTCATTCTAAAAACTCAGTATAATGTGATCATTTGGCATTGTTTTGTTTCCCAGGAAAGGCAGTGAACAGGTTACACGTCCAGATCTTTGGATATAATCTGTTGGAGAAAGGATCTAGGGCTGATGCATGGTTCTTACCCTACTGCCCAGCGCAAGCCTGGGCTGAGAATAACAGAGCAACACACGATAAACCCCGGGAGCGGCAGAGGGAGGGATGAAAACAACTGCAGCCTGAAAGTCACCCTAGGAGAAAAAAAAAATCATAGGCAGAATTCTTGAGTGCTGAAAAAACAGCGGGGAGAGGGGGAAGGTGAGGGAGAAGGATAAAGAAAGAGAGGAAAAGAGGGAGAGGGAGAGAGACTGACACGGAAGGAAATGAAAACAGGAAGACAATAAAGAAGAGATAGAGGAGAAAAAGTGAGAGAGGAGAAAGGGAACAGAAACGGGGATGAGACTCGGAGATGACATGAGAGAGCTAGAGGAAGCTGGCGACATTGGGAAGGAAAGGACCCCACAGTCAAAGGCAGGACTCAACAACCCTGTCCTGGGGAAAGGCAGTGGAAGTGAGAAGGACCCCGCCGCCCGCGCCCGCTCGCGGCTCTGTCCCTGCAGACAGGAGGGCGCGCCTCACCTGGGCTCTCTGGAGATGTGGAGCAAAAGGTGCTGGGGCACCACAGCCTCCTCCCGGCCAAGAGCACAGCGCGTGGCTCTGAACTTGGCGCTGGAGCCCTGAGGGCGGCCAGGTCCCGCCCCAAAGCCGCTCCCGCCTTCAGGGCGTGGCCTCGGCTTCGCCCATCCCCAGGGAAGCTCCAGGCTTCGGGGCGGGGCTTGCGGGTGGGCGGCCCCGGCGGGGGAGGGCGCTGCTGGCAAAGAACCCCCAACCCCGGGAGAAAACCCCCTTCTGATCCTCTGGGCTGCCCGGCCCTACCCCGGCTCAGCTCCCAGCTGGCTGGTCAGGGTCTGGAGCCAGCGCCTGCGGGAGGGCGAGGGCGTCCTTTGGAGGCGGCGCCTGCTCCCGCCGACCCCCTCTGGTCCTGGGCGCCAGACCTCGCGCTCCTGGGCCCGCGGGGCCTCGGCGAGGCGGACGGAGGCTGCGCGCGGCGCCTGCGGCTCCAGTCTGCGCCGAGGACCCCCGCGGCCTCCAGGCCCTCCTTCCCCGCGCAGCCTAGCGGCCCCTCGAGCGACACCTCCCCCCGCCGAAAACGCCCAGCTCTCCCCCCCAACCCCCGGGAGCGCCCGCAGCCTCTGCTCCCCAGACCCCAGCTGTAACCACGCAGCGCTCTGCCAGGAAGGCGGGCTCCGCGACTCGGACCGTGGTGGAAAATGACAGTTCAAGTGCGTTAAAATTAAGAACTTATACTTTGATTTAAAAAACAACAAACGGAGTGAAAAAGCAAGCCACACACTGAAAGAAGATACTTGCAGCAATTGATAAAAGATTAGTATCCAGGATATATACTTTTAATGAAAGAGAGGAACACCCAAAGCAAAGAATGGATACAGACATGAATAGGCACTTCGGAGGAACCATTAGCGACCAAAATCATGTGAACGAAGGAAGTCTCTAGAGTAATTAGAAAATGCAAATTAAGACCACAAGGAGATGTTTAATCATTAGGTATAAGTGTTAAAATATAACAATAACAAGTGTCACGGAAGGCATGAAGCAAGAAAACCCTAATATGCCCCCAGCATATTAGTAACACCCATATTAGTACAGCATAGAAGTACACCCAATTTCATTGATTATAAAACAACACTAATTTAAGATATTCTATTATACTAAATACAACTCCAAAAGAGGGGGGAAAAACTGACAACCAACCAACTCAATGCTTTTCATCACTTGTAAGTTTTAACTTATATAAAGAAAGATATATTTTAGACTGTATTAATCCATTCTCACACTGCTATAAAGAACTGCCTGAGACTGGGTAATTTATAAAGGAAAGAGGTTTAATTGATTCACAGTTCAGCATGGCTGGGGAGGCCTCGGGAAACTTACAATCGTGGTGGAAAGGGAAGCAAAACAGGTCCTTCTTCACAGAGTGGCAGGAAGGAGAAGAATGAGTGAAGTGCAGAGTGAAGGGGGTAAAAGCCCCTCACAAACTCATTCGATTGCCTGAGAACTCACTTATACTATCATGAGAACAGCACAGGGCAACCACCCTCATGATTCAATCACCTCCCACTAAGTCCCTCCCCCTACATATGAGTATTACAATTAGGACTACAATTCAAGATGAGATTTGGGTGGGGAAACAGAGGCAGGCCATATTATGCCACCCCGGTCCCTCCCAAATCTCATTTCCTCATATTTCAAAACACAATCATGCCTTTCCAACAGTCTGCCAAAATCTTAACTCATTCCAGCATTAACCCAAAAGTCCAAGTTCAAAGTCTCATCTGAGACAAGGCAAGTCCCTTCACTTACGAGCCTGTAAACTCAAAAGAAAGTTATTTCCTAGATACAATGCAAGTATAGGCATTGGGTAAATACACCCATTCCAAATGGGAGAAATTGGCCAAGACAAAGGGACTACAAGCCCCATGAAGTCTGAAACCCAACAAGGCAGTCATTAAACCTTAAAGTTCCAAAATGACCTCCTTTGACTCCATGTCTCACACCCAGGTCATGCTGGTGCAAGATGTGGACTCCCATGGCCTTGGGCAGCTCTGGCCCTTTGACTTTGCAGGCTGCAGCTCTCCTCTCAACTGCTTTCTTGGGCTGCCTTTGAGTGCCTGTGGCTTTTCCAGGCACAAGGTGCAAGCTGTCAGTGGACCTACCATTTTTGGATTTGAAGGGCAGTTGTCCTCTTCTCACAGCTCCACTAGGCAGTGCCCAAATGGGGACTCTGTGTAGGAGCTCCAACCCCACTTTTCCCTTCTGCACTGCCCTAACAGAGGTTCCATCGGGGCACTGCCCTCGCAGTAACTTCTGCCTGGTCATCCAGGTGTTTCCACACATCCTCTGAAATCTAGGTAGAGATTCCTAAACCTCAATTCTTTTTTTTTTCTTTTCCTGACATGGAGTCTCACTGTGTCACCCAGGCTGGAGTGCAGTGGCATGATCTTGGCTCACCATGACCTCCACCTCCTGGGTTTAAGTGATTCTCTGCTTCAGCCTCCCAAGTAGCTGGGATTACAGGCCCCTGCCACCATGCCAGGCTAATTTTTGTATTTTTAGTAGAGACGAACGTTTTGTTAAGTTGTCTAGGCTGGTCTTGAACTCCTGGCCTCAGGTGATCTGCCAGCCTTGGCTTCTCAAAGTGCTGGGATTACAGGTGCGAGCCACCACATCTGGCCCCAAACCTCAATTCTTGACTTCTCTGCACCCACAGGCCCAACAGCATGTGCAAACATCCAAGTCTTGGGGCTTGAACCCTCTGAAACAATGGCCCAAGCTCTACCTTGGCCCCTTTTAGCCATGGCAGGAGCTGAAGCAGCTGAGATGCAGAGCACTGTGTCCCAAGGCTGCATAGCAGAGTTGAGGGCCAATGAGATTGGCCCACAAAACCATTTTTACCTCCTAGGTCTCTGGGCCTGTGATGAGAGGAGCTGCTGTAGGTCTCTGAGATGACCTGGAGACATTTTCCCCATTGTCTTGATGATTAACATTCATCTCCTCATTATTTATGCAAATTTCTGCAGCAGGCTTGTATTTCCCCCAGAAAATGAGTTTTGCATTTCTATCACATCTTCAGGCTGCAAATTTTCTAAACTTTTATGCTCTGCTTCCTCTTGAACCCTTTATTGTTTAGAAATTTCTTCCACCAGATATCCTAACTCATCTCTCTCAAGTTCCAAATTGCACAGATCTCCAGGGCAGGGGCAAAATGCCACCAGCCTTTTTGTTAAAACATAGCAAGAGACATCTTTATCCTAGTTCTCAAGAAGTTACTTATCTCCATCTGAGACCACCTGAGCCTGGACTTCATTGTAAATATCACTACCAGCATTTTGGTCGAAGTCATTCAACTAGTCTCTAGGAAGTTCCAAACTTTCCCACATCATCCTGCCTGTCTTTCTGTGAGCACTCCAAACTGTTCCAACCTCTGCCTGTTTCCCAGTTCCAAAGTCACTTCCATATCTTTTGGTATCTTTATAGCAGCACCCCACTACCTGATACCAATTTATTGCATTAGTCCATTCTCATGCCGCTGTAAAGAACTGCTCAAGACTGGGCAATTTATAAAAGAAAGAGAGATTTAATTGACTCACAGTTCAGCGTGGCTGGGGAGGCCTCAGGAAACTTACAATCATGGCAAAAGGGGAGGCAAACACGCCCTTCTTCACACGATGGCAGGAAGGAGAATAATGGGAGAAATGCAGAATGAAGGGAGGAAAGCCCCTCACAAAACCATCAGATCTCATGAGAACTCACTCACTATCATGAGAACAGCACACCACCCCCATGATTCAACCACCTCCTGTGAGGTCCCTCCCCCAACACATGTGAGTTACAATTTGAAGTATAATTCAAGATGAGATTTGGGTAGGAACACAGAAACAGAACATATAGACTTGCTAGAAATTTTCTAAAATTATATGTCACTCTTGTGCATACAAAAATGGAGAAAATAAAATTGATTAAGGTATCTCTACAAATGTTTTACAGTAATAGTTTGACTTCTGAATCCCACTTGGTTGCGCTCGTGTTTTTCCACCCACTATACCCTCTCTGCCATTCAAAGCCCTGGTCATACAGCAGTTTTGACACTGGAATGTGAACTCATTCACACTCCTGCCCTAGAGATGGGGCCTGTGTTCCCTCCCATTGACTCTTGTATCCCATTGACTGCTTGGATTAATAGAGTACAGTGGAAGTGACACTGTGTGATTCCCAAGGTGGTGCCATAAAAGGCACTACAATTTCTGACTTGCTCACTGAAAATACTTACTCTTGGAGCTCTGAGCCACCTGTTAAAGCCCAAACATCCTTAAGCCACCATGCTGAGAGGAAGCCCAGGTCATACAAGGAGGCCACATGCAGAGTCTCCATTCACAGTTCCAGCTGAGCCCAGCTTTTGAGTTCTCCTCCCTAGAACCCACACTTGTGAGTGGAGGAGCCTCCAGAAATTCCAGTGTCCAATCCTTCAAGTCATGCCAGGCTGCTCAAGCCTTCCCACTGGGGGCTCCAGACATGTGGAGCCCTCCCCACTCTGCCCGAGTGCCTGACCCTCAGAACCTGTGAGTGTAATAAAATGGGCCTTGTTCTGTGTCCCTAAGTGTGGGGTGGTCTGGTGCACAGCAGTACAGAACCAGAATGTCCTTCATTCAAAGGACACTGGTAACACTGCAGTTTCCATCTCCCTCCAGGTCTGCCATCCCCTGGGGGACCTCAGTATCATGCAAATGACCTCTCGCTGTCAACATTCTGGCCTCCCAGTCCTTGACCTCCTCACGCACAGTGACGTCCTCACCTACGTCACCTGGGCTAACTCTTCCAGTAAACAAAAAGGCAGGATCTGGGGTGGGGGGGGAGGGGTTTAAGGGACAGTGTCAGGGCTATTGTAAGGGAAATAGAGGTTTCGTCTTACACCCCCTCTATAGATCCTGTGACTCCCCCTGGTGTTGTCAACATGCAGAACATTGGGCAGAGCTGCAGGTCACAGTCACTATGTCACCCTTCCTATCAATCATAATAGAGAATTCTGCCCCCAGGGTAGGGGGAGAGCCAGGCAGGTAGCTGGAGGCAAGTCTCCCAGAGCCAGCTGCTGACCCTAGTCTCTGTGACCTGGGCAGTTTCCAGGTG